TATGATAATATCAATAGATGCTGAGAAAGCTTTTGACAAAGTGCAACACCCATTCATGATAAAAGCCCTTGAAATTCTTGGGATACAAGGAACATACCTCAACATCATAAAGGCCATCTATGACAAGCCAACAGCCAGTATCATTCTCAATGGTGAAAAGCTGAAAGCAATTCCATTAAGATCTGGAACAAGACAAGGATGTCCACTCTCACCACTGCTTTTCAATATAATACTGGAAGTCCTAGCCAGAGCAATAAGACAAGAGAAAGACATCCAAGGAATCCAAATAGGAAAAGAAGAAGTCAAACTATCACTATTTGCAGATGATATGATAATATACATAGAAAACCCCAAAATCTCCACAGAAAAACTAATTCAACTCATCAATCAATTCAGTAAAGTGGCAGGATACAAAATCAACACGCAAAAGTCAGTAGCCTTCCTATACACAAACAATAAATCTGAAGAAGAAGAAATCAAAAAAACCACCCTTTTATTATCGAAACAAAAAAATCAAATATTTGGGAATAAATCTAACAAAAGAGGTAAAGGACCTATACAAAGAAAACTATAAAACACTGTTAAAAGAAATAGAAGAAGACACAAAGAAATGGAAAGACATCCCCTGCTCATGGATTGGAAGAATAAACATTATTAAAATGGCCATCCTACCAAAAGCAATATACAGATTCAATGCTATTCCAATCAAAATCTCAATGGCATTCTTCAAAGAAATAGAACAATTATTGATGAAATTCATATGGAATCACCAAAAACCCCGAATAGCCAAAGCTCTACTGAAAAAAAGAGAAGGAAATGGAGGCATCACACTCCCAGACTTCAAACTATACTACAAAGCCATAATCATCAAAACTGCATGGTATTGGAACAAGAACAGACATACAGACCAATGGAATCGAATAGAAAATCCAGAAATAAACCCACAGATTTATGGTCAACTAATCTTTGACAAAGGAGCAAAGACTATGCATTGGAGCAAAGAAAGTTTGTTCAATAAATGGTGCTGGGAAAACTGGGTCGCTACATGCAAAAGAATGAAGCTTGACCACTACCTCACACCATACACAAAAATCAACTCAAAATGGATTAAAGAACTAGACATAAGACCTGAAACCATAAAATACATAGAAGGAAATATAGGCGAAACACTACGGGATTTGCACATCAAAGACATCTTTACAGACACATCACCCAAAGCAGTGATAGTGAAGAGAAAGATAAACAGCTGGGACTACATCAAATTAAAGAGCTTCTGCACAGCAAAAGAGACAATAACAAAAACAAAGAGAAACCCCACCAATTGGGAGAACATTTTTGCACCCAACACTAATGATAAAGGACTGATCACAAAAATCTGCAAAGAGCTGATGAGACTCAGCAATAACAAAGAAAATAATCCAGTCAAAAAATGGGCAGAAGAGCTAAAAAGAAACTTCTCTGAAGAGGAAATGCAAATGGCCAACAGACATATGAAAAAATGTTCAACATCACTTGTAATCAGGGAAATGCAAATCAAAACTACCATGAGATACCATCTCACACCAGTGAGAATGGCACATATTAAAAAAACTAGCAACAACAAATGTTGGCGAGGATGTGGAGAAAAAGGAACTGTTGTGCACTGTTGGTGGGAGTGCAAACTGGTCCAACCACTATGGAGAGCTGTGTGGAGATTTCTGGACCTACTAAACATAGAGCTTCCATATGATCCAGCAATTCCACTCCTAGGTATTTACCCAAAGGACACAGAAACATCAATTCCAAAGAGCACCTGCACTCCTATGTTTATAGCAGCACTGTTTACAATAGCTAAGCTTTGGAAACAACCCAAATGCCCAAAAATAGATGACTGGATCAAGAAGATGTGGTACATATGTACCATGGAATATTACTCAGCATTCAAAAAAGATAAACACATGCAATTTGCAGCAACATGGATGGCACTGGAAGGGATCATGCTCAGCGAAATAAGCCAAAAAGAAAAAGAAAAATACCGGATGGTCTCACTCATAGCAGGAATCTAGAAAACTTAAATAAGGGACCAGGAAAATGAATATAAGAAAGTGAAAATCAAAATCAACAAAAAACTATGAACCAGAGACACTTTTTGGGGGTGGGGGGCGGGAGGGGAAGGATTGGGGTCAGAATGGGGCGTTTGCAATTGTATGGGGGAATATAAAAATAAAATTTAATATTTAAAAAAAAAAAAAAAAAAAAAAGAGGACCAAGGAGCTTAGGGTCACAGGGGCGATGAAATATCAGCTCATAGTCACAGGTAATCTACACAGTAACTGTAGATGATCTACAAGGTCACTTATTAGAAATTGGCCAAAATGCCAGAAAATCTCTGCTTATCACTGAAAAAATTAATTAATGCAAGAGAAAAAAACTCAGTTCCTGAGGTAGAGTCATGAAATGCCACGGGGGAAGGGAACAGCGTGCTAACACAGGAGCCCTTGAGGGATGAGAGGAGGGCCTGGGCCTGCAGAGAGCCAATGAAACACACAGGGTCAGGGATATACTTCCAGGAACTCAGGAAGCATGCCATGGAGGGGGTGTGCCAGGGGCCTGGGGGAGCGTGTGCAGGGATTAGGGAATGCTCAAGGCCAGGGCAGGAGTCCATGCAGGAGTGCAATTAGAAAAATCTGAGGAAAAAAACCATCTGAATTTAGTCGCTGACTCATGACTACCAGTGTGCTCTACGTGTACATCTTAGTCTGAAATAGCGGTAGAGCTCCTCTTGTCCTTCTCTTTGTGAGCAGCAGAACATTTTCATAACTCATCCCGCAGCACTGAGAAGCAGGGTTAGCTTAGAAATCAGAGTCACGATCTTGAGCTGAGTCAGTGCCAGAAGCCCACCATCCTGCGTGCTGGCTTTCTTAGTCAGTGGGGCCTGATAAAAACACACATCTGTTGTCATACGGTCAGATGAGGGAACAAACTGTAATCCTGGCACCGTGGCTGGCTCGTGGGCATCAGAGGAGCACTGGTCTGGTCTTCAGGGCTTCCAAAGTGAGTGTGCAAATCTTGCTTAGGCTTTTTATGTTTTTATTTTTATTTATTTATTATTTTTTTTTTAAAGATTTATTTATTTATGCATACAAGAGCTGGGTGGGGTGTAGACCAGAGGTGCGGGAGGGTGAGACGATTCACCAGAGACAGAGTGGGGAGCAGAACAGGCAGATTGGCTGAAACACACTGCTGAGGGGAGCAGCGGGCGAGACAGGAGCGGTCTGCCGCACCATGTGAGACCCTCGCTGGCCAGCGGGATCAAACCGGAGCTGCAGAGGCTGTGGACATCTTCACAGTGCAGCGCTCAACTGCCTGAGCCCCCAGGGGAGGCCCCCCTTTTTTTTTTTTAGAAACTGTGGTAACCTCTTCCCCAAATGAGAGGCACAGATACCCCTCAGAAGCACCAGAACAAGTTCTTTACCATGATATTACAAGCAGCTTCTGGGAGACAGGTATTCAATCTAGGTTACCAGCCAAGGAAGGTAGAGTCATGCATTTTGAGACTACCAGAAAACAAGCAAAACAACAAAAACAAACAAAAAAACTATAGGTCCATTTAAGATGAATGGCATGAATTAGTAACAGTTACCAAAGCACTGCTCCCCCAAATCAAATGGCATTTCCTTTCTTATCTCAAATATCTGTTTTATTCTTTCCTTCCTCCCTCCCTCCCTGTCAATGAACTTACACGGAGTGACGACAAGATGCCAAAGCCATACACTGCCAGTGAAGTCCATTTTGATCAGGAATACCAACTGTCTCGGGGTAGAAAACCCCTGTGTGTGTTGGAACTGCCCGACAGCGAGTTCTGGGCTACAAAGAGACATCCTGACTTGAAGGATAGCTGTACTTTCTGCCTTTAGGATCTACCTTGTCAGAAGAGCAGAGGAACGCAAACTCATTTCAGAGCTGCACTTGAAATGTCTCAAGTCCAAGGCAAGCAGATAACCAGACTACTACTTTACAAACTGTCACCTAACATTTAACATAACACTTTGAAGTTAGCAAAACTCTCACATACATTACTTCAACTGATCTCCACGGCAGCAATGCCTGGTGAATATGAGTATGATTACTGCTGTTTAACAAATGAAACAGACGAAATGAAATTAAGGCACTTGCCCAAAATTTCCCAGCTAGTAACTGGCAGGGGTAAAACTGAATCCATACTAGCCTAACTCTGAAACTGCTGGTATTTCCATTTTACTAAAATATCTCTCAGGGAAAAAGAAAACATATTCTTGGAATTTGTTTTTCTGTTGAATCCAATGAAGAACTTTTGTTGGGGTAATTAAACATTTAAAAGCTTTCTGAGTGATAAAAACAGACTTTTATCAAAATCTCTCATTTAAACTGTAAATGAGAGATTCTATAAAGTATCTAGAAATTGTGCAAGTTACACATGGACAGGAATACAATAGTTCTGAAATAACACTGCTTGCTACTACCTTCCAGGTGGTCGAGGAAAGCAGATCTTAGGTCTAATGGCTCTGCAGGATCCTATGACAAAGAGCAATTTGTAGTAAAGACGAAAAATGCAATTCAGTTCCCAGTTTTTTGGCTGGGGCCCTGGACTGGGGCAGTCCTGGCCTCAGACTGCGCTTCCTGGACTCAGGGGCATCCAGTTTCATAGCTCAGGCCTCTGCTCATGTGCTTATTCACCTCTTTTCTATACGCAACACACAAAGTGAGCTTCCCCTCACTTCCATGCATTCCTGCTCATTTTCTGTAAACTGTTAGAACTGCCCAGGAATTTATCAGTTCTCCTTGATTTAGGATTAGAGAGACCAAAGAGATTTTCTCTATAAGGTTTTTAGGCTCAATCTGAGTTGTGTAAGCGACATCCAGCACCTCTGTTTTTCTCCCCAATGAGGAGCGTAAGCGTTTGCTATTTAAGCCTGAATACACATAAAAATTTTTGTGGACCCCCATATGGAAACCATAGGGCAGAAATGATTCACAAATGAAATGTGAAAGACAGATGAAAAAACTATACTTACTTAGGAGGAATCCGTGAACCTGTGCTCACATTTGCGGTTGGGACCACAACTTGAAGAATGTGTTCAAGGGCTGTTAATCCACCAGCAACTTGAAATGCAATCTGATCTGCCACATTCTAGACAGAAATAAAAATATAAATTAGCCCAATTTCGCAGGCATGAAATTATAGCCAAATGAAAAATTTAGTTGTACTCTGAAACATTCTATTGGTTGAATTATTCTACAAATATTTACTGAATACTTAGTGCTAGGAATTGTAGGTCAAAAGTGGTGTGCAGAGAATACACGACTGCTGTCCCCTGTGAAGCTACATTTTAGTGGATGAGACCAAAATTAAGCAATTACAAATAAAATTATTTTAATTGTGATAAGTATTTTGAAGTAAATAGAAAGCCGTACTGAGAATAAAGGGGAAACCGACTCTACACTGGGGAAAGGGTCAGCAAAGGCTTCTCTGAGAATGTGGAAGTGTTAAGACGGGTAAAAGGGGAAGGGATGATGTGATCCAAGCAGAGGAAAAGAGAATTTTATACAGAACTCTTCAGCATTATTATAAAAACAACCAGATTATTTTATAATTAACATTACCACCTATAAGACAAATTGACTTCTACAGTGTTTCCTCTCCCAGAACATTTTTCTTCAGTAATACAAAATAATCTAATATTTTTAATCACATTTAATTAATACTCTTTTAAATTACTTCAGCTCTTTTAGGAAAATATTAAGCAGCCACTATAATACACACACACACGTATATAATATATAGTAGCCACTATAATAATCAATAATAATCAAATGACTATGATTATATCTATACAAATACGATGTCTGAGTTGAATATGATTTTGGAGGGAAGGAACTTCTCCAAGTTCTTTGTCTTCCTTTGGCAGGGGGAGAGGAAGCATAAAGTGTATTAGTTTTTAAGATGAAGATACCTTCATCTTCATGTAAAAATTGAATTGAATTGAAACCAGCTCTGGGCTGACTTTACAACTCCCACCCACAAGTCTTATACTTAAGTCTCAACCCTTAGTACCTCAGAATGTAACTGTCTTTAATAAAAGAAAATATACACACATACACAAACAAAAAACAGTAGTAATAAATAAAAAAACCAAATTAGCAGGCAACTATAAATCAGAGACATTCTGCAAGGGTAGAGGAATCAAAACGGGGGCAGAAGAGCACAAGTGACTATGGTGATAGTTTATGGGTGAACTGGTGGTGGGAATTTTGTGGGGAATATATCTGAAAGGAGAAAGCATACAAGCATAAATGAACAATGATATAAAACTACGCATATATGTATATATATATATTGTGTGTGTGTATGTATGTATGTATATGTCGTTAAGTTAAAACGAGGCTTGTTAAGGGAGCCCTAATCCAGCATGTCTGGTGTCCACATTAGAAGAGGAAGAGATGCCAGGGGTCATATGCATAGAGGAAAGGTGCGGGAGGACACAGCAAGAAGGCTGCAGAAACCAAGGACAGAAGCCTCAGGCAGAACTAAACCCGTTAACACCTTAATCTTGGATGTCCAACCTCCAAAATACGAGAAAATAAATTTATGTCATTTAAGCTACCCAGTCTATGGCTTTTTTTTTTTTATTTCACTCCATTGTAGACCAATATTTTTGTAAAATGTAACACAAACAAAAGACTGAAACATTAAAAATAAAGAAGTACTAAGTAGGAGACCACATTTAAATATATGCAAGAAACATAAAATTACTGTTAATTTGCTAAAATCTACTCTTGCTTTGTGCAGTTCCCTCCCATGTTCTTGTGACAGTGGCGCTGGCTCATGGACTACAATTTTGAGGAGTCCTGCTCTGAACGCCTGCAGTGCAATAAGGATGATATTTTCCAGAGTAAACATGATCACGTCACTCCTTGTTAAAGCACTTGAATGTCTTCTTCCTCACTGTCTATAGAATAAAGTAAGGCCCACACTGCTTAGCATAACTCTTCAGATATGCTCCGTCTCTAACAGCCTCCTTCCTGCCTTCTCTCTCATCCCAATCTCCCACGTGGCCCAATGCTCCTGTAAACTCTGTGCTTCTGCATACACTGTTTCTCCCCAGAAGAGATGATCCTCAAGTTTTTCAACTTTGTATTCCCACTAAGCTGAGCTGTTTGAGGTTGGGGACCTCGTCTGTTCCATCACCACCTTCCCAACACTTAAGCGGTGGGGACTGCACTCAGTAAATGCTGTGTCAGTGGTGGCTGGATGACAGTTTTGGGAAAGAAAGCTGATACTTTCATATGATCTTACTTGTGAAAACACAGTCAATAATTTCTCTGGAATGATCCCAGGATAACATCTTTCATTCCTGTGTTTGTGCATGCCTTATAGCATGGTTTTTCACTAGAATTGAATTTCATGATCAAAGAATGAAGTTCGGTTTTTCAAGATTGAGGGACATGTTCACCTTGAGTCTCCTTAATAACGAAAAGAAAGGAGCTTAAAGTCTTTACTTGTGCTCCATTTCAATATAAGGTCTTCACATATGGATGTCTCTCAACTCAGAACAAAGTACATCATGCTTCAAACTGAGCAGATGCACAGATTGATGCAATCTGTCTATAGAAAATGAGAAAGAACTAGGTCAGCGCTGTGGAAGTCGAGGGGAGAAGGACTGAGTAAAAGCAGACCAGTTTAATGTATACATGTATGCCTTAAAAACAAAACTCAAAGCCTTTTATGCGGTGCCAACAACATGGATGTGACCTCTTGAAAAACATTAGACATAGGCGCTAATAGACATTAAGCAGGAAAAATAAGCTAATTTCAGGATGATAAAGGCCATTCAAAGCCAAATTTTCACTAATGTATTATTGAAACTGAAGTTTTAATTTATCACTTGCAGTTTTTCAAGGAAATAAAGCCAAAAACAAAACCAACAGTAAAATTAAAAAAAAAAACAACAAAAAACAACTTATAAATCTCCCATGGAGTCAAGAAGGGTCCTGCCTGGTTCTGTGTACTTCTGGATTATGGCTGCAACAAGCCACTCTGGGCCCTCCTATAAGCATGGCCACGTGGAAACATTACTTGGTTTACTAACTTCTCCTGCATGTCCCACATCAATCCCTGTTCACCCATCCCCTCTGCCTGACCTCAGAGCCCCAGTTGCTCCACTGCAGCCTCCTCCAGAGTGGTGGCTCACTCACCTCTGCAGTCCCACGCTGGCGCACCAGGAATGTAAATATGTGACAGGTGATTGACTCAACAAAAGGGTGACCAGATGAAAAGATTCTTTTGGACAGAAAAATGTCCCATGAGAAAAGACAGATGACGTAAGGCAAAGACTGTGAACACCCTCTACTGGCTCCATTCCCCCTCCCCCTTCTTTACCTCAACGTGGAAGAAAAGATCCTTTGCTAGTCTAAGACCTTCTCACCTCAGGGAGGCAGAAAAGGATAACAAGCTTGATGATGAGCTGCCTAAACGTTGAAATGAAGAGAAAAACCACCTTCTTAAACATGTGGTACTAAACACTACATTCAAATAAAAATGGAAATAACTTTCATACAACAACAATCCAAGTAAACTTACAGGAAGCAGAGAGCCTCCCATCTCCTCTCCCCACCACACTCACTGCTGGGACAATCCTTGGGGCCTCCGGTACACACTGCTCTCTCTACAATCCTGGCTGTTTGAGCATCACAGGGAGAGTACAGGCTCCTCAAATACGCTGTCTTACACTTGTTTCTGTCCCTGTCAGTGTCTAGATAAAAGCAAGTAGGCTACAAAGGCTAAACCGTAATTATTCTCTCTATTCAAACTGCTACCTCTCAACTTGTAGGGTTCATGTGCTGTCTCTCAAGCCTTTTAGACCCAGATCTAATGTTGCTTCTTCCAGAAAGCCTTTCCTGATCTCCTCAGCTAAAGTCAAAGTCCTTTGTGCATACTGAATTGTGTCTGTCTTGTGGCCCTGATCACTTTTCACATTATTCCAGAGCTATTTGTGCTCATGTGCCAGATTGCAAAGCTTAAACTCTCCTAGCCCTATGTCCTCGGTCAGGGTTAAGCACACACACTGTGGGCAACAAGTTTGCTCAACGATCGAAGATATCTCATTACAAAAAAGCAGACTAGGTACCTTTCCTTCTTCGTCTTATCCCTTTCCCAAACATTATGCCTTCAAATAGGTGAAGCTGAGATTCTCAGAGTTTTATTCTGATTGGAGTGGGGAAAATGCTTGTAAGAGGAAATGTATGGTTTTACTTATGTACCTGGCATAACACCTTAATAGCTCAGCCTTCCTCTGCTCCCTCCCACTGTGCGTTGGACAGCTAATAGGATTAGCTGCTCCATTCTAATAACCCAGCTTAGTTAAAGGCCAGCAAAAATGACAGTTTCAATCTGAATTACATGGCCTGGGAATCCATTCAATTATTAACTAGAGTAACTGTTATTACCTCTCCCAATCAAAGGAGAGGCAGCTGTTGATCTCTGGTGGCCTGCAAAGGCTGGTGGCCTTTGTACTTGACTTCTCTGTAGTCAGTAATTATGTTCTTTGTGATCAGGGAGGAAGACCTTCCCAGCCCTTTAGAAAGAGGTGGCAGATGGAGAAAATTGTTTGCATGTTCATTAGCAGGATAGGCTACATTTGTTCTGAGCATCCGTGACACTTTAAGACTTGTTTAGAGATAATACAAGGAGGTTTTGGGAAGTCCATATATTTAGAACTCAGCAGCCCAATTTATAGAGATGAGAAGATCCTAAAGTGAATTTTTTAGGGTTGTTTTTCCCACAGGGGAAACTCTCTCAATACCGAAGACATATATCACTACCTCTCCACTGACTTTACCTGGTAATGTTGGCCTAGAAGAAGCAAGTATAATGAGCTGGTTCTGTTGTGTGATTTTTCTCTTCTAATGTCGACTTCTTCATATTCCCATAATCTACATAAAGTCTAGGCTTGGTTTATAAGCTACAGACATCCACATTTGAGGGACTCAGGTTCTGGGGTTAAGGATACCACCGGGGTAAAAGTATACGTCTATGGGAATGCTGTGCAAAAAAGAGTAAAATCATAACACACAGTTTGAAGATTTGGTAATAAGGTAAATGGGTCTGAGAGAGGCTAGAAAAGCTTTCCT